GAAGAGACAACTTTCACGATACAAATAAGGATCTACGATAATTTTTGGATCTTCACAAATAGATAAAAAAAAGCCTAGATGTAGATCTAAGAAAATTTGTGGAGATGGATCAAGATTTAGATAAATAAACTAATAATACCAAAAAAAAAATTAGGGTGAAAAGTAAGAAGACGGTGGAGCATAGCCTATACATGAAATAAATAGAAACATGTTGTTTTCATGGAAAAAATCGAATTTCATCAAAAAAATCCTAATTAATTAATGAATTAATAGTTATCTAGAAATTTAGCTACATGTCCATACACTTTCATAAAGTCATATATCGAACTATATAGTGCTAAATTTAGCAATAGACTATCTATGCGATTAGGTTAGTGCTTTAAATTATTTTAATTTCCATCTATACATTTTCGTTATATATTCAAATTACAGTCGGTCACATTTAATAGTAGTCACTTCGTTCTGTTTACTGCCGAGTAAATGTCAGTTAAAATGTTCAGATTGTTCTTTTTGTTCTTCTTGAGGCTGGATACCTTTCCCCCATGTGTAGCTACAAAACACGCATTGGTTTTTCTGTAATAACTCCCAAATTGAAACTCTTTTTCAACTCTTATTTGGATATCGTTAGAGACAATCATCTTTGATGTCTTTTTCCTAATTTTATACTCCATTTTTGTTTATGCACAAATTCATTCTAGAATGTATAGGGTTTCAGAGTATTAAGATAGGGAAATGTGATTTTTGTTTTAGTTTTGGATTTACATATTGGCATAATTATATGATGAAGAGATGTAAATATATGTAGGTTATGAAAAATGTTATTAGAAAGGGTGATTGTTTCGAGGGTAAACATCATATACAACAAGGATATAAATCATTTGTCTATGCATCATATCATCATATTGTTAATATGAAGTTGGTACAGATCGATTTGCTCGGAGTAGATTTATCGGAGTCAAGCGGCTTTCTACTCTGAAAGTTTCTACTCTGAAAGAAATTCACAGTATTAAAAATCCTGGTTTCCAAGCGAATGGTAAAGTCACAGTATTACTATTGAGGATCACGAAAATCGTTAACAAGGTTGGACGGTCTACAAGATCTTCTTGAACAAATAAAAGACCGATAATCCGATATGGATGCATCAAACTACTTTACTCTTCCTTGAATAATCTACGAATACGATAATTGGATTCACGAGATCTAATGTTGTTCCATTACTCCCAGGCCTAAAAAATCATGCAATTATTGCTTATTGCAAGAAAGGAAGAAAACTTGATTGACGTGAAACTTAAATATGTGACCAAGTCAAGTCCGTTGTCAGTTATTCTTCCTACTGCTTATAATCTCAAGAACTAACATTGTGAAGCTACAAACATTAAATTTCATTGAGAAATGGCCACACCTTACATATTTGGGAGACATGTAACCCGCCGAAATCCACAAGAATTAAGATTGGTATATATATTGGCAAAATAATGAAGCAGTTTTTCCATGGCGTCCTTTGCAATCTTTCCTGAGTTTGTGCTCGACAAGGTAAAACCAGTTAAAAACGCAAGAGCTAAATTAGTACATGAACTAAAGCATAAACTGATAGACAGGTTTTGTAAAGTCACACTTTTTATTAGAAAATCTGTTTAGTACATGCACTTACAAGTTTCACTCAACAATTATCTAACTCTCACGTTCAAGGATCTAATTCAATCCACGAACCTCTCAAGACAAATCCCTTAGGCCCTCTACACGTTGGTTTTCTCACAAGAAACCCAAAACTTTAATATATAAGAATTTTCTTGCTCAGTCTTGTCTAATCTCTACAAAAACTTAGCACACTATTTAAGTAGTGGTCATACAAGCCTAATTATTATTTTACGGATCAATACTAATCCTTAATGGAAATTGACATGTTTCCTTTTTCATGTTGAAAAAGGAGACTTCTTCTTATGTTTTCTTTTTTTTTCCATAAAGGAAACTATTCAAACTTCCGATATCCTCTCCAAGACACCATCTCAACAACCGTCTCTCGGATTGTATATTGCCATTTTTTTGTTGAGTTCCTCACTCCACTCCACGTCATTTACTACATTGCTCTGTGGTATCACTTCCCGAGCTACTTGCAAAGGGTACTTATGGGAGTCGAAGGTCTTGAAGGTTAGTCAAAGTAATATTATTCCATAAATTGTTTTTTGCCTTCACTTTTTCTAATTGACTCTAGTCAAAATCGGAATATTTTTGTTGAGAGATCACAATTAGTTTTACAAAACAAAAAGAAGTTATATTCTACATTAATTTTACAAAACAAGAAGAAGTTATATTCTAAATGCTTCGCATCTCTCTGATTTTTCTTAAATTCTCAAGAATTTCCAATGGTTAAGCTATACCTATAATAAATTACTCCTCCTTGAATCGTTTGTACATGAAATTATAAGATTCAAGAATCGTTTGTACATGAAATTAAGAGTATCAGTTATAAGATACAAGAATCGTTTGTACATGAAATTAAGAGAATCAGTTATCCAAGGAATCAATGAGAAGGAATAACGAATATAGAAGAAAGAACATGAACTTAAGATCAGTAACCATTATGGCATTATATTGCCTCCTCATCAATGCATCGTTTAATTGTAATCACATCAAGTTACAAGAAAAAGGCAATGAACAAGTAACAGATACAACTTCATTCAGAAGCTTTTTTCTTGTTTTCTCTTCTTCTCCGAGATTGTCAGAGAGCTTCTTGAATATTTCCCATACATCTCCCACAACCATGCCTAACCTTATATAGTCATTGTCTTTTTCTTCTATTGTTTAGTCTCTCAATACATAAAAAACACGCAGAGCTTGGAAAATTTTGAAGGTTGTCGGATCAAAACTCTCCTCAATGACCTCCTTGATGGATTTTTTGTATTTTTCTTTTACATTGAAAGAGGTATTGAAGTTGAGCAAGGGGAGTAACAACTCTTGAGGCACACCTAGTTGTTTCAAAATGAATATATCTCGGATTATATTGTCCTGCTTACCCTGTTGCGAAGTCGTACTATCCGCCCGTAAAATCTCTCTAATGGAATCGTTGTAGAAGCTGATAGAGCTTGAAGCTCCTCTGAACTGAAGAAACTGATCAAGTTTTGGGGGAATGGCTTTCTCAACACCATCTGCTACAAGATGGCGTGGATAACAAGCAATGTTTCTAGATATACGACAATGACTTCTAGTGAGATTCGACACGGAATCAGAATCTTCCTCTTCCTCTTCATCTTCCTCTAATATCAGCTGTGTAATTTTTCTAGTCCAACGATATAAATCAATGAGATTAGAGATTATAAAAGTCTCGTTAGAGCTCACGTGTGATGTAGCACTAGCAGAATTGGAAAAAGTAGATGCGTTTTGCTCTAATGGAGATATCAAACTACACCACTTATGTAACTCCAGAGCCTTTCTTCCATGGCGTATCATCAGAGGCCTCATTGAAATTGCACCTATTACACCAACCTAATAATCAACACGTTATTTACCTACTTGTTACACCACCTACCGAACTACAAACATGTTGATAAAAATCCCTACGCTGATCCTACGATTTTCCTACCAATTGTTTCCCTATAACTTTCCTTCGCGTTTCCTACGCGATTTCCTACTAAGTTCTGTTCGTAGGAAATTGGAAAGAAATATACCTTCGAATTTTCTACCAATTCTTTCCTATGACTTTCCTTTTACTTTTTTACGAAATTTCTTACGACATTAATTTTCGTAGGAAATTTCCTACGAATCTCTTACGACTTTTGTCGAAGGAAATTTCATTCGAATTTCCTACGAAAGAAATATTTCGTAACAAATGCGTAGGATTTTGGTAGGTAATGATTCCTTCCAAATATTTAGTAGGAAAAGTCTATGTTTCCAAATATTTATGGGACTAGAAAATTTTCTCTCTTAGAAGGACGTTTTATGATTAAATTTTTTTTTTATAATCTATCATGTTAATATTAGTAAGTATTAATTATGAAAGCTCAACTTCGAAAACACATTATGAGTTAGGGTTCACAGTTACGGCTATATGGAAAAATACTTCTTGTTGTTTTTGTTAAGAATCACACAAGAGTTATTAACCTAGTTATAGAATGTCCGTTTATTTTCAATTGTCAACCGACTAATTAGTTAAGAATGACTCGCTATATTGTTCTTGTATACAGTATCTAGTGTCTAGATGACCACCAATAAATACCGTAATAGATGAAGCCTAATCTTCACCATCCATAAATAAAATAAGTAACCATCATAAGTTCATCTACTACAACATATGGACTAACAACTGAAATTTGAAAATGGTACGTTATAATGTGGTTGCATCTAATTGACAGCAAATAAAAATCATATTCATGCAATGTATCTATCATGTTACGTCGTTAGTGTATCATACAATTGGTACTTGCACAGTTACTCCTACTTATATCCGAAGGAAGATCATATCTTACACTCTCATTTATCACTTACAGGGTGAACATAACTATATATCGTACCAGATTTCTCTATCTCATATGACTATTTTAATTTTCCGGCAGATTGATAGGACAATCCAAAACATCATCTCAACAAATTCATCAAGTAAGCCATTTTGTGCTGATACATTTTTGCATTTGGTTTTGTACCATATGTAAATTTATTGTACTATCTTTAAATTAGGTTGTTTAAGAACCAATTTTGTATAGCAGGAAAAACGTTAACACTCTTTACTTTTTTTATAGTGTACTTCTTTGAATGATATTAACATTGAACCGAAAAGAAAAACCTTAGGATTTTGTCACGTTTAAGCAACCAAAATCTATAACCTTTTTTTCTATTAAATGCCCCCAAACGTTAAATTTTTTTGATGATTAGGTGGCTACAAAGTCTCATGTATTCTATGATATACATCAATTTAAATTATCCGGATATCAAAAACAGTGACATAAATTAATTTGATTCAAAAGTTAAACACATGCCAACACATGTAACCAATATGAATCTTTTAAGATATTTAAACAACTTTAATAACTGAAGTTTTAGATAAGAAGTCTTGAAAGAAAATAAGTAATGATCTGCATCACATCTTGAAAGGAAACTCTAGGAAATTAAATCCCTCAAACGATTAAGATTCAAAGAAAACAAGAGCAAGATACCATTAAATATGTTATTTAATGTTTAGTATCTTGTTTAATCTTCGAGACAATCTTCGTGCCCAACATTTTTGGAGGTGGATGCAACATCTTCCACCAATATTGGTTCTTCGAAGTCGGCCTATATTTCATCAAAAGTAAAAAAAGAAAAAAAGCTAATCGTTAGACAATCCGCGGGTAGATTACCATTACTAGCATGTCACTTTAACATGTAAAAAACCCTTAAGATGTGATTATATAAACCAGTTTATGAGCTGCTAACTAACGATTCAGGTTCAGTGGTATTGGCTCAACAGAAACATTCCAGTTTTACCAAAAGAAATCCAGTAGATTACCATCTTTATAGCTTGTTCAGGTTTTAATTTGCCACTGAGAAGTCCTCTAGCTAGCACTCTTGAATTCTGTAAACAAATAATAAGAGATCACAACTCAAGACTCAAATTCAAACGTGTAATAAATGAAGAAACTAAAAGTTAATTTCAATGGTAAACAAACTGAGAACATCTTTAAACAATTTATTGGAGACAAGAATATTAGTGAAGAACTTACTTGGATCATGTAATTGATGTGAATCAAGATACTAGCTATTATGTAAGTATATATACGATATATAGTCGTATATACGGTGTATCTACCATGTATGGTAAGAAGCCGTACTATTTAACGATACATATAAACAATTACATATATGTTTATACGTTGTATGGTATTCTGTTGTAATACGTTAGACATCTCTTAAGGCCAACAACATTTCATATTTTAGAATGAAGTAATTGTCATGAAAGCCTAGGACCTAATTCCATCAACAAATGCATGCCAAAATAAATCACGAACACAAATAAAAAAACAAATGAAGCAAAGAGGAAGTAAACTAACCTTGAGTCTCTTGACCAGAAGCTCCAACTTGTAATTATACTTTGGTATATCATCTGCGAAAGAATCATATAAAGCCTCCTCAAGAGCAAGTACCACCTGAACAACATCCTTTCGGGTGGTCCCCGTACTTTCACAACACATGCTCTTAAGTACTACTTCTAAAAGCTCCCCCAATATCTTGTCACGATCCAAATCACTGGATGGTAAAGACCCTAACTTCTCCGAGATCGGCCTAGAACTCATTCTCTCACACTTCCTAACTAATCTTTTACGCCTCGGAATCGTAGTCATTTGGACTTTCTCAACGTCAACGAGATCACCAATTCTCGAAATCGTCTTTGCCACAAGAATATCAATCTCAAACTTTTGCTCCTCGTCAAAGCTTTCATCAGAGAACTTCATCATCTCTTTGTTAATATTATCATAAACCATTTGCACGATGAAGCTGGAAGGCTGAATACGGTTTGGAATTTGCTTATCATCCGGCACGAAATACACAGCACACTTGTACTTCACAGATTCAGCAAACACTTCATCATAATGGAAACTGAAGAAAATTTCCCTTGAGTCTTCGGATTTCCAATTTCCAACATCTTTTTCTTCGATATCTTCTTTACGGTAAAACCACTGCACCACCAACTTCATAAGCCCATCTTTTTCTCGTATATAAATATCCTGTCCAACAAACAATCAAAAAATCATATCTATTGTTAATTATGATATGAACAACTGAAAATTATATAAACATTTTTTTCATCTCTTTTTTTACCTTGATGATCGCTATGTATTCCTTTTGGTTTGGGTTTTCTGGAACCAATTCCACAAAGTCTTCCTACGAAAAATGAAGAAAAATCTAATGTAAATGGTACTACAATATAACTACACAGATAGAACAGAAAAAGAAAATATGTTACATAATGAATATCGTTTTAGTCTTATCACACAAATTTAAAAAATGTTGTATAACTAATCGTAACTCTTATTTTTAAAAAAAATAATTCTAGAAATTTTTTGTAATCAGTTCTTAAAACATAACAAAACTCACCAGTCTATATTGTTTTCCATGAAACTCGAATGTCTTGTAATGACATTTCTTGTTTCCTCCCTTACCAGTAAACTTAATCGGTTTGCCAATTGACTTCGCACAAGAATCACTCGGTCTCCAGTCGAACTTTGCTTTCTTCTTCACTTGCATGTCCTTACTCTCCTCCCTCTTCTGCTTTAACTTCGTTTCTTTGGTTCTTAACGTCGACAATGGAACATTGTCTTCACCTTCGCTCACAACCACTTCATTCGCTTGATGGATCGACATCTCTTTCGTTCACAACTTTCTTATGCGAGTCACAGTGAAATTATAAGTTACAAATCCGTTTTTCACCCTACAGTTGTTGAATCAGAAAGAAAACATTAATAACTATAAACCAATATTTATCATCAACAAAAAAAAAAACTATATATAAACCAATATTATTCAAGTAGATTATTCATATTAGTCACTCAAATTTGTACCTGATTCTTATCCCACCAGACCAATGCTTGGATTGTCTTGGCTTCGTTTTACAAATAGATAGCCAAATATCTGGAATATGCTTTTCTCAGGCTCTTTCTTATGAACTGGTTTTAATAATTCTATCTATGCATTATTATATACTAGATTATATCAACAAACAATACTACAATACAAAGAATTTAGTTCATACAGTAAATGTGTTTTTTATTTTCCCATATTTAAATAGATGCATAATAAGAAATATAAGGAGGAAAATTGGGGAAATTAAGAAAGAGTTTTGAAATCACTAGATAATATCTATATAAAGTTTTATTTTTTACCTGTTAATAGCAAAATGAGAAAAAAATAATTATATAAGGGAGTCAACAACAAATTTTCCATTTTTTGGTAAATTAAATTACAGAGATTCTTTACCATTTGTGCAAGTTCATGCAATGTATTTGGTTAATGTGACCTGTACAGAAATAACGTTCTAAAATTGGATTATCACGCCGTCGTATGGTTTTTGACTTTTTAGATTGAAATCGAATTGTTTTATTTATACTAAGTGACTCGAAACATCAATAAAAGAGTTAAATATATATATATTCGAAGAATTATTAACAGCCACTGAATTAAATAATGATATTGACAAAAACGTAAGAGAATGCTTCTAGGTTATGGTCTAGTTTAACTGGTGGTGAATATTTTATATAGAATGTAGAGATAGTTGCATAAGAGACATCTTGTTATTGGGCAAATAAAATTTTCGGTATATTGATAAAAAGTCTACAACAATGATAATATTTAGTCAAATTTTCCTCTCACTTTAACCCGTACGTAGCATCTGATGTTTCGTTTTTGTTTTTAATTTCTCACTTTTGAATATCTATTTTTCTCTCATATTCATCTTTCTCCCAACTCTTTTCTAATTCATTCAAACCAAATAGAAACATCGTCTTGTTTACTATTCATACTATCGTACCAGAGAATTAGATAGTAGAACTATTCGCTGGAAGAGACAACTTTCACGATACAAATAAGGATCTACGACAATTTTTGGATCTCCACAAATAGATAAACAAAGCATAGATGTAGATCTAAGAAAATTTGTGGAGATGGATCAAGATTTAGATAAATAAACTAATAATACCAACAAAATAAAAATAGGGTGAAAAGTAAGAAGACGGTGGAGCATAGCCTATGCATGAAATAAATAGAAACATGTTGTTTTCATGGAAAAATCGAATTTCATCAATAAATCCTAATTAATTAATGAATTAATAGTTATCTAGAAATTTAGCTACATGTCCATACACTTTCATAAAGTCATATATCGAACTATATAGTGCTAAATTTAGCAATAGACTATCTATGCGATTAGGTTAGAAGTTTAAATTATTTTAATTTCTATCTATACATTTTCGTTATATATTCAAATTACAGTCGGTCACATTTAATAGTAGTCACTTCGTTCTGTTTATTGCCGAGTAAATGTCAGTTAAAATGTTCATATTGTTCTTTTTGTTCTTCTTGAGGCCGGATACCTTTCCCCCATGTGTAGCTACAAAACATGCATTGGTTTTTCTGTAATAACTCCCAAATTAAAATTCTTTTGCAACTCTTATTTGGATATCGTCAGAGACAATCATCCTTGATGTCTTTTTCCTAACTTTATACTCCATTTTTTTATGCACAAATTCACTCTAGAATGTGTAGGGTTTCAGAGTATTAAGATAGGGAAATGTGATTTTTGTTTTAGTTTTGGATTTACATATTGGCATAATTATATGATGAAGAGATATAATTATTTGTAGGTTATGAAAAATGTTATTAGAAAGGGTGATTGTTTCGAGGCTAGGGTAAACATCATATACAACAAGGATATAAATCATTTGTCTATGCATCATATCATCATATTGTTAATATGAAGTTGGTAGAGATCGATTTGCTCGGAGTAGATTTATCGGAGTCAAGCGGCTTTCTACTCTGAAAGTTTCTACTCTGAAAAAAATTCACAGTATTAAAAATCCTGGTTTCCAAGCGAATGGTAAAGTCACAGTATTACTATTGAGGATCACGAAAATCGTTAACAAGGTTGGACGGTCTACAAGATCTTCTTGAACAAATAAAAGACCGATAATCCGATATGGATGCATCAAACTACTTTACTCTTCCTTGAATAATCTACGAATACGATAATTGGATTCACGAGATCTAATGTTGTTCCATTACTCCCAGGCCTAAAAAATCATGCAATTATTGCTTATTGCAAGAAAGGAAGAAAACTTGATTGACGTGAAACTTAAATATGTGACCAAGTCAAGTCCGTTGTCAGTTATTCTTCCTACTACTTATAATCTCAAGAACTAACATTGTGAAGCTACAAACATTAAATTTCATTGAGAAATGGCCACGCCTTACATATTTGGGAGACATGTAACCCGCCGAAATCCACAAGATATTGGCAAAATAATGAAGCAGTCTTTCCATGGCGTCCTTTGCAATCTTTCCTGAGTTTGTGCTCGACTCGACAAGGTAAAACCAGTTAAAAACACGAGCTAATTAGTACATGAACTAAAGCATAAACTGAGAGACAGGTTTCGTAAAGTCAAACTTTTTATTAGAAAATCTGTTTACTACTTACTACTCCCTCCGTATTTTAATAATTGTCGTTTTAGAATTTTTATTTTTTTGAATTAGATGTCGTTTTCAAATTTCAATGCAAAATTTCTTACTTTTTAATGTTTTATGATGTCATAAAACATTAAAAAGTAATAAATTTTGCATAGAAATTTGAAAACGACATCCAATTCAAAAAAATAAAATTTCTAAAACGACAATTAAAAAAATACGGAGGGAGTAATTAAGAAGATGTAAGAAGCTTTGGTGTTTATATACACTTTACCTTTTTCCTTTTGCTTAAAATACTTTCCTTTTTTACTTGAGCTATTTCCTTTAGGGTTTTGATTTGGGAAAAGGATGGTGATAAATCAATGACACGTGGTGATAAATCAATGATATAGGAAAAGGATGGTGATAAATATGGGCTTAAATTCCCAGGCCTAGGCCCAAGTCTCAAGTTATCGGGACTATGAAGTATGAACCGAACCCTAATGGCTTTGTCAGAGAGGGTTTCGATTAAGACAAGTTTTTTTTTTTTTTTTTTTTTTTTTTTTTCGATTAAGACAAGTTTGTTTTGTTTTGTATCAATCATCGTTCGATTCCAAGTTCCAACTCTCAAAATATGCCTAACACTCGGATTAAGTCACGATGTTTTGACGATCTCAATGATCACGAAAGACTTCAGGATAGGTATATCCGTATATATATATATATATATATCCATTGATTGTTCTTGTTCAATTTTGTTTTTCCCGATAACTCTCTGCGACTCTATAGTTTTCAGATTGGAGTGGGAAGGTTACTCAGAGATCAAGATTAAAAGTGATGGAAATTGCCAGTTCTGTGCTTTAGCTGATCAACTCTATAAAACCTCGGATTGTCATAAACGTGTTAGACAAGAAATCATACAACAGTTAATAATATATAACAAATCATGAAACTTTTTTCTAACTTTGCAGATTGTTTTTTTTTATGATTGATGATTGAACTCTGCTTTTTTTTTTATATATCATCCAAAGTTGTATAAAGGATTTGTTGATAAGATGGAATTCTCCGAGTATGTAAAGAACATGTCGAATAACTCTGTGTGGGGTGATGAAGTCACATTGAAAGCAGCTGCAGATGTCTATGGAGTCAAAATAGTTCTCATTACATCATTTGAACATACCACTTCCACTGAGATTCTTCCCAAGTCTCGAAAACAACCCGATAGAGTCATTTACTTGAGCTATTTAGCGGGGATCCATTACAACTCCATCCACAAAAACGAAGGTTTAACTTTCTCCTTCTTATACATTGCTTGTGATCTTGAGAAGACAAATTATTTGGTCTTGATGATCAATGCTTTGTAGGTTTGTTCTGTTTCTTGCACACAATTTTGTTATATACAGTAGAACCTCTATAAATTAATACTCGATAAATTAATAAACACGATAAATTAATAAATTTGGCCGGTCCCGAGTCGGGCCAGTGCAAAAATTAACCAAATTCGATAAGATAATAAGATAATAAGTTTTTTGAAATCCCTATGTAAAAATATAGTCCCAATAATATCATAAATTAATAATCATGTAAATTTGCATATATATATATAATATATATAATAGTTTTACTATTTTTCATAAAAATAGCCAAAAGTTTTTGTAAGTTTTCAAATTTTAAATATGCATAATTTTTTCTAATAGTTGTATAGGTTTTGAAAATACAACAATGGATGTCACTATTTGTGAATTTTAATTTATGTATATCGTTTGTATATGTGAATTCTATAATCGTTGTTATTCATTGTCAAAATAAATTATTTACTCTTCGAAATATTAAGTGTTTAAGGCTAAAACTATAAAATTTATAACATCCAAAACATTAATTTTATTTAGACCACATTATTTTAGCTCGTATTTTTTTTTTAAAAGTTTTCACAATTGAAATAAAACTTTCTATAAATTAATAAATATTAATTTACGCTATAAAATTAATACTTATTAATTTATACATAAATTAATATCACTATAAATTAATAAAATATCATGGTCCCAACATTATTAATTTATAGAGGTTTTACTGTAGGTGGAAAGTAGTTTAGACTATACAGTTCTATTGTCCTGGTAATCATAGGTGTTTTTGTTTTGTTTTTGTTAGATTTTGAAGTCAATGATCTGCTTTCTTCCTTCTTCTCTAAATTTTCACATTTGTTGTTATCTTGTTTGCTTCAGCTGCGGGATCTTGTTTAGGTGAAGCTTACACGATCACAATTAGCAATTGGATTGGAGACACATTGTTTACTTTCAAGGGGATTCGAAACCTTGATGGGCATATTTGCGCGCAAGGCAGTCCACAATCACCACTTCACAATCTTTTGGTCTTAAGGATTTTGTTCTCTGTTTTTTTATAGACTGTCTTAAGGATTCATTAAGAACGATTCATGTTTTTGATAAGAAATTCCACATTTTAAGTTTGGTAGTTAAGATTACGGGTCTCTTACAAGTTACAACAAACGTGTGTCCTAATCCAAATATCAAAAGTAAATGTTTGAAGCTTTTGTTTTGTGCCTGAAACAAGTGATCTAAGAAGCCAAGATACTATTGCCATACGCTTATCAAATGGATTTTTGGAAGATTCTTGTAATAGCTAATAACATGCAAATTCTTCTTAATCAAATTTGACTGATAAAACAAAAATACGAGAATAGCTAAAACATCATTGATCCAAACAAAGACATGCTTAATGAGAGGTTCAACAACTTAATAAACTCCCAAAATAACAATGGTTCTCAAGTAAAAATATCAGAACTACAAGAGCTTCAAAGCCAAACCCATCGATGCCATCATGTGTGTTTTATGAGCATCAATCATGAAGTTGGTGCTTGATCAACGGTACTGTAGAAACAGAGAACACAAAATCAGAATAAACAGATATGCCAAAATAGAATGAAACAAACAGAAGTCGTTGGGATTGAAATTATACCTTGATGAATCCAATCTCCTTAGCGTTGCTGCGGAAACACTGTCTGCAGCAGTTCAATCCATACTTCCTGATCAGCCCGTGGGAGTTCCCGCACACACGGCTACATACATACATACAACCATTGCATAATACAAAGTCAGAATCTTAAAATGCCAAATATAACACATAACTAATCTCACATACGACTATATACAGAAACCAAGTATAGCAATCTCATCATACATAAGCTAATCACTATAAGAATTTGCAAATTACAAAGTCATAATCATAAACACATAGCTAATCTCAAATGATGAAGACAGAAACCAAACATAACAATCTCATACATTAAGACAAGAATTTGCAAATTATAATTTCACAAACTTGACTGCCAATAACACATAGCTAAATCTCACATATAACCACAACACACAAATCATCAAAGCTAAATCTCTCTGTCTCAAAACACAACTCAGTATCAGATAATTCACAAAACATAGATCATAGACGATCAGATCCATCATAGAACAAGGAAATGGTGTTCACGTTCTATACTTCTAAGAACCAAACAAATCAAAGCAAAACGCGAGAGATAGAGAAAGATGATTGATTTACCATAAACGAGATCCAGGTCCGTACTTCTTCGGATGAGAGTTCCAGACATTAGAGTGACCCATTTCGTCGATTTGCTCGCAGAGGAATAACAAACGGCGACGAGAGAGGCTCTTCAAAACCCTAGAAATTTTGGTCTCGATGTAGAAGAAGAAGCTGATTTTTATAACTCATAGGTTTTATCGTGAATAAATAAATGGGCCAGGTTTAAAAGGCCCATTAGGCCCATTAATGGGCGGATTCTTTTTTTTTTTTTTTTTTTTTCTTCTCCATCCACATGTTCTTTGCTATGAATGATCCTCTTGAGTTTGTTTAGTGAATCCATGGCCACTCGACCTCTCATCTCTCTGCAACTTCTTTCTTCTTCTTCTCTTTCATCTTCTTTGTTAAACCAAACACCACAATTTCTCTCTTATCAGAAACCAGAACTAATCAGCCACCATAGAAAGTGGTCACGAACAAGTGCTCATCAATCCTCAGCTAATCTCATCATTCACCCTTCTGTTATCTTCCTAAGTAGCGGCTTCGATGGCGGTGGCGGATTCATCGATACACAGACTTTCATTGTCACTATCAGTCTCGTTGTAGCCATTGCTCTATCTCTCTTCCTCGGCTTCAAGGTTCTTAAGCTCTCATTATGATTCTCTCTCTGCTAAATCATTTATTTACTTAAAAGAAATTTTGGTGGGTTTTTGATCTTTTTAATGTCTTATTGATTGTTACAGGGAGATCCAGTTCCATGTGAGAGATGTGGTGGAAATGGTGAATCTTTTTATCCTTACATGAAAATTTCATTTCTTGAAACTCTATCTCTATTCTTGCATTATGATTAGGAAATGATTAAATTTTTAGTCACCTAGATGAATAAATCAAAATCCATTAGGTTATATGTAAGTTATCTTTCAAAAAATCCAAAACTAGTTTTACTTTACTATGCATTGTTCAATGGAAGTAAGTAATGGTTAGAGTATTGTTTCACAAGTATTCTCATTCTCTTTTCGAGACTATTTGTCTTTATAATCTTTTTTGTTTGATTGGTTTGCGCGAAAAGGTGGAACGAAATGTGTATTCTGCCTCGAAGGGAAGATGAAGGTGGAATCTGGCATGGTTAATTGCAAAGTCTGCAAAGGTTCAGGTACTTAATTACTTAACCATTTCTTAATCTTTTGTTTTGTGCTAAATACAGTTGTTTCTTAATACCATATGAAGAAGTTTCGTTTTGTTAATGTAGGTTTGATTTTTTGCAAGAAATGTGGAGGTTCTGGATATTCTCGCCGTTTATAAGTTAACTATTTTCAATATTCACATTGGTCCTTTGGACTATTATGATATTTATTCTAACTTGTTTATAGTCATATAACAAAACTGTGGTGCATTTTCTTGTTTAATTGTCTGTCATCCACTTGTTACATCAGTTTCACTTGTTACATCAGTTCAAATACGAGCAAGTGATTGGTACTAAAGAAATAGTTTCCTAGACAAAATTCTAACGCAAGTTGATTCAAGGTACAAAAGATATAAACTCATGAGCTTAATGGGGTTTTCAATACCTTCCTTTTTTTTATGTACACCAGTTATTCTCTTCCTTAAAATCTGTCATATTTGGTTTTGATCAAGATTTGCCTGTCCATAAAAGGCCGGTGTTACAGTAGCCGGCCTTTTAGAAGACTTGTTTACGCATTGGCCTTTTGGTTTACTTGCGGGTACAGTACTATGAATTTAGCAGACTCCTTAGCCCAAGTACTCGGTTTGTAGCGGATTAAATGTGTCAAAAAAAATAAAACTCGGCTGCAGGCATATCTAAAAATTAGTGTACTATTTATATATATGTGTATAGATGGGTGCCTCCATCTTTATAAACAAACTAATGTCCCCACATCTAACTATTTATATAGATGTATATGATTGTGAAAAATGTCAAAAAAGCCTAACTTATCCATTTCGTTGAAAAAGGCTCAATTTTGCATTTGATGAAATATAGCCAACTTTGGTTGACTTCTCAGTTAAATGTAAACTTTTGTTGGAGATGATTAATTTGAAGTGGAGTCTCCAATCAAATGGATTTCATAAGTTATTGCAAGATGTTATGATATCGGCTCTTTGTGTTTCATCATTTGGCATTTGCATCCAAATGATCCATCTAAATGATCTATTTGGATGATGCATCTCAATGATGTTTGTTTGATCATTTGGTAGTTCATCCAAATGATGCATTTAAATGAATCTTTGTTTGTTTGATCATTTGGTAGTTTATCTATATTCTCATCTAGATGCTTTTGATATGAACAATTACTATAATGCCTATGCTTTCATTTTAACAAATAACCAACATCATTACTAAACATGAACTCCAAATATCAATACCAAACATATCATTTTTGCTCAATACAATAATTTTTCAAAAATTTAAAGTAAATTCTTATTTCAAGTAAACTTGAAGTTGATCAATCTTCATAATTGAGTTTGCAAAACCAGAACCATGATCCATACCTGCATAATTTGATCTAGAACAAAATCGATGTGTAAGAGAGAACATGGCTTGTCGTCGCCGAGAGAAAAGAAGAAAATCGATGGGTAATTGTTTAGTTTCATTAGGGGTATTTTTGACATTTCTAAAATTTGGTTGAATCATCTCCAGCTGACTGCACCGATCAGACTCAGTTAAATTTTTCAAAAAATTTTAGATGAGTTTAGTGAAAACATCATTTTCATCTCCATTTGGATGATCCATCTCAATGGAAAAACGAACAGCATCATCATGTTTTTCCAATCTTTGGTTCATTCACGATTCTAAAGTTTCTTATTTTCTCACACTAAATTCCCAACCACCTTTCTATAGTAGTTTACTCCTTTGTCTTGACCATCAATCCAAGCAAGATTATTACCAATTTTCCTGTTCGATTTTAAATAACTACTTTAAAAAAATGTCAAAAATTAATATTTAAAACAAAGAACTCTCAATTAACTCTTTAAAATATTTTATGAAAAATAATTACATGCAATAACTATATCACACTACTCTTTTTTATATGAGGGAAACTAATCACATCTGTGGCTAATGGATACAAAAATGTGGTTGTGGCTAATTGTCCTAACTCTTAGTGCGATGTGAATTCTAGGCCAGATGTGTCTATTGAATCAAAATGAGTTTTTGATTATCGGATGCGATACATATTTTATTTCGGTGTTCTGGAAATGAGAAAACGAAAAATAAATTTTTTCAACAGAACTTGTTGAAAAGAAAGTTGCTGAAGTGTAGAGGTTGCTATAAACACTGAAATGTCTTTCAAAATTTTCAAGATAAGCATGAATTTTGACGATCCTATTTTTTTCTTTCTGAGATGACTTCATGTTAAAGGATATGAAATTTGTTACAACCTTAGAAACATTTAATTATTTTTTATTTATTGTAGATATTTTTCTTTTAGCATGATGCTTAATTTATGCAAACTTAGCAATATGATAATTCATAATTTGTGGCTTGAGATCTCTATTATGACATATGTAAAACATTGATTTCTTCTGCTCACATTTCCGAGGTCAATTAAGCGACATTTTGTTCAATTACACAATGTTTTTTCACTAACTTCAGTCTCTTTTAATAAGCTTCTTTTTCAAATAACAGTTCTAAATTTTGAACTCTTATCGCATGTGATGTAAAAATTTCCATGATAAATTTTCGTACAAGAGTATTAGATTTCGTACACAACTGAAAATAAGAGCATCTTAGGAATTAAAACAAGGATATTAGATTTCCACATATATGATGTGAATGCTGTATCCTTATCGCGTTTATGTTTAATTTACTATATTCGATTTTGTTATAGATGTTTTTTAAATGGAAATAACATGTAATATAATTTTGTTAATGCTATAGTCTAATTTTTAAAATAAAAAAGTAGACTCAAAATCTTAATCTTAAACTGAAAAAAATCAATCACTTAATCATAAAATAGTATTAGTGGCTATCAAAACTTGAAAAACCATGAATTGATTAGAAAATCATAGAAATTTGATACATTAATTTAGTTTACATATGTGACTATGTGTTGAGCTATATCTCATGTAGTTGATAATATTTTCTCATCTAAATTTGAACATTATTCTTAATTTCTTATCTGAATTTACATATTTCCTACACATCAGACATTAAATTCAGTAGCGAACAATATTATCTGATTTGTGGCTTACTCTTATTTTTTTTGAATTAATACATAATGTCCGGTTCAAGTATCCCCGGTTTGGTTCAATCATAACCGATTTAATCCTATTTAATGAATTAAAAAATAGAGAAAGCGCAACGTTTGAGAAATCAAAAAGTACCAACGTTCCGATTAATTTCAAAAAACGTAAACAAATCTCAGCCGTTCATTAATACGCTCCCTTCACCCTCCGATCATATCTCGTCTTCTTCACAACGTTTCCTTTTGTCTCTCTCTCTCTTCCCCCTTCAGACCCAAATTTCAAATTTCTCTCTCTCTCTCTCTCACTGACTCAGTGAATTCTCATCTTCTCTCATCACCCAACCAAATCGAATATGCCGTTTATCTCCGAGACTGCTAGTGCCATCAAGCGCCGGTTCGGATTCAACGACCGTCCCGCACCTTCGGAATCTCTCCGCTCTGTGCCTTGCACGCCGGAAGCTAACACCGTCTCGAGAGAGAATCACACTCATCAGTCTACGGTTTTCTCTTCCGCGGTTCGAAGCATGCCTGAATTGGATGAAGATGGTGCGATTTGCGCTGGATCTGCACAGATATCGAGGTCTCAAAGCTTTGAGTTCAATGAAGATCCCGCTTTCTGGAAAGATCACAATGTTCAGGTTCGATCTTCTATATCCTTTGGTATTGAGCGATTTGGTGATTGATTGATGATGATTCGTGTTGATTTGATTTCGCCTAGCTTCTGTGTAGTAGTCACTGTGTTCTTTGTTAAATTGATTTTGAGGTTTTGTGGTTTAACACATAATTAAGGATTTCACATTGACGAATTGATTTTGAGAACATTTTAGGGTTTTACGTTCTTCAAAACTCGGAGTTCTGTTGATTTTTCTGGATAAAAGAAAACTAAGTTTGTTCTATCGTTTCTTGGAATGTTGAAAATAGGTAATTATAAGAACTCGTCCACTTAGTACTTCAGAGATTTCTGTACAAGGCAACAACAAGTGTGTGAGGCAAGACAATGGCCAGGCAATTACTTGGATTGGGAATCCAGAGTCTCGGTTCACATTTGATCTCGTTGCTGATGAGAATGTTAGCCAGGTATTGCCGTTTGTTTCAGCGGTTCTTTATGCATTCTTTTTGAAGCTTAAGACTGTTTCTGAGAATCTGTTTGCTTTTATTTGTTATTACAGGAGCAGATGTTTAAAGTGGCTGGAGTGCCTATGGTGGAGAATGTCGTGGCTGGTTACAATAGCTGCATGTTTGCTTATGGCCAGGTGAGGTTTATTCTTTCTCTGACTGTGAGTTTTATCTGTATTTGCTTCTAGTGTTTCCAGTCTGATGGTAGTCTTAATTTGTAGACTGGAAGTGGGAAAACTCACACTATGCTTGGAGATATCGAGGGAGGAACACGTAGACATAGTGTCAACTGCGGGATGACACCTAGAGTTTTTGAGTATTTGTTCTCAAGGATCCAAAAGGTTTGGTGCCTCATGTCTTTCTGTATGTATATGTTTTAGCTGTGAAATGGTGTGTTCTAACTTATCTGTCTTTTCTGTACCAGGAAAAAGAAGTTCGCAAAGAGGAAAAGCTACACTTTACTTGTAGATGCTCATTTCTGGAGATATACAACGAGCAAATCCTCGATTTATTAGATCCATCATCTTATAATTTACAGGTATACATACTAATTGTATCATGGCAACTTGTGATCTGAATTTCGTATCTTTTGTGGGATTAACCAAATATCCTCTTTTGTAGCTAAGAGAAGACCACAAGAAAGGTATTCATGTTGAGAATCTAAAGGAGATTGAAGTTTCAAGTGCCAGAGACGTGATTCAACAATTGATGCAGGTAATTCACTTTTCTTCTCTTAGCTATTTTATATTAGGTGCACTTGGTCTGCTCTTCTAGGTTTTTCTGATTCTGACCTGCTTCCGCAATACCTTTCTTAAGTATAAAAGTTTGATCCTATGAAAGATTATTCTCAAAATAATCTGTTATGTCTATATTTAAGTTTCAAGAAAGTTTACGGAAAATATACAGTGAGTTTGCTTAGTCAAATTAGTCAGTTTACATGGAGAAGCTTTGATGACACTTTTTTCTTGAACTTTCATCTTTTCTTTTGCATTTATTACATGCTAGATGCTCTTTCGTTCCATAGTCAGAAAGATAATGCAAGAAGTAGTTGACAATTTGCACATGTCATTCATTTAAT